AGGGACAAAGTTATGAAGAAGTCAGTTGCTGCGCTGATTTTGATAAATAAATATATATATATGAGACTAATGTACCTGGGTTTACAAGAAAATGAGGTTTAAATAGATATGTTGAAGATATGGAGAAGATATGTAAGTTTTGTTATGATTCAATGTTTATGTAATCTTGATTTTTGAAAAAAAAGAGAAAATTCTGTAATTTACACTTTATTTTTTAACTTGTAGGTAAGTATGGAAAGTAAATATGTCCTCATATGCTATTCAATAAAAAACCTGTATGCTCTAGGAAAAATACTTTTCCAAGATTTCTGTGTAGATAGAATCAGTTCTTATGGGGGGTTGGAGGAAACACATGCGATCCCAGGGATTAAACCCTGTCCAAGTGCAGGTAAGGCACAGGACTTATCCACTGTACTATCTCTCATGCATATGAACAAATTTTTTAGAGACTGGCTGTTTTCTTCTTGAATTTTTTCTCCTTCATAGCCCAATGTATAAGCCCTAGCTTTATTAGTGTCTTAACACAACATTAGAGTCTAGTATCTTTCTTTACTGAGTTTTTACCCTTAGATAGGGAGAGAAATTAAATTGATTATTATCCAGTTTTTTTATGGTACTTTACCACACCCAAGTCCAATAAAATTCTGATGGAATGGTGAAACCAAAGACTGTTCCACCATTCAGCAACTCAGAACTCTTAAAAAGTCTTAGTCAAGTAGTAATAGTTAAAAGGACAGTTTGATAGGTGAGGGCATAGACTAACATGAAAATATACATCACATTTTATTAAGCAAATTAAAAATAGATTTAGTCTTTAGTATGTGCTCCCACAGAAAAAAATTACTGAATTTGATTGATTATATGCTCAGCAGATCAGTTAATTACTTTAGACAGTTGCTTGATGCATATTAATTTGGATTCCATGTCAATTATAACAATCTTTGTTCACAATCTAGCTCTACTTATCCCAGTTAAGTACCAATACGTATGCTCACTTGAAAGGGAACTGCATAATGGGCTCGAAGCAATAGTACGGCTGGTAGGGCATTTGCTTTACTTGCAACTGACGTGAGTTTGATCCCTGGCATCCTATATGGTCTTCCAGCACCGCTAAGAGTAATTTCTGAGAAGAGAGCCAGGAATAGCCTCTGAGTATGCACCCTCCCTAACCTGATTAAATAAATAAATAAAAAGTAACTGCATCAATTTTATAAAGTAGAATGGTGTTGTGAGCTGAATCTAATATGAATGGTGCTTAAATTCAGATGTTCAGCAGAAGACATTATGCATATCCCATATTCCAGATATATATTATGCAAATATATTATGCAAAACTTGGAAGATATACTATGATATATTATGCAAAACTTGGGAGAAAAAGTACTGTCAACTAAAGTAACAAAATAGGAGATTAATACTCAAGAATAGCCGAGATCTGTACCAGGAGGATTACTCCATGGCTTAGAGGCCAGCCAGGCATTCTAGAGGAAAGGGCAGCTCAGATAGAGAAGGGAGAAACAAATAAAGGGTGTTTGGAGGATCCTCCCAGGATGGGAGATGATTGCCACTCAATGCCTCTTATGCAGACCACAACACCCAAAAGGAGAGAGAGAACAAAAGGGAATGCCCTGCCACAGAGGCAGGGTGGGATGGGGGGGGGGGGGGATGGAGGTGGGAGGGATACTGGGATCCATGGTGGTGGAAAATGGGCACTGGTGGAGGGATGGGTATTTGACATTGTATAATTGAAACCCAAGCACAAAAATTTGTAAGTCTACAACTGTACTTCATGGTGTTTCACTAATAAAAATTAAAAAAAAAGAAAGAAAAGAAAAAGTACTGTCACCAGGAACCAGATAAGGAAATAGTTCCCGAAACACATTTCCAAAATAACACCTTACTGTTTTGAGGAATTAAGAAGATTATAATTCCCAAGCTATAATATGAAGTGAGAAAATTCTCTTGCATTTCTAGCAGGACTATAAAATGCTATAACCACTTTGTAAATAAATTTTGTGATTTTTTTTAAAAGTTAGTCATGCATTTACTGTATAATAGAGTATGATTCCATTCCTGAGTAATTCTATCAGAGAAGTGAAGACACGTAAAAATATAAGTATGTACAAAGAACATACAGAGATGTTTGTGTTAGCACTATTAATAATAGTCCAAGATTGAAATAACTCATCATCATATGAATGAATAAACAATCTGTGCCTTGATATAGATACATACACTATAGATGCATACTATTCAGCAATAAAAATGAAAGAAAAGAAAAGAAAAATAGAAGGAAAAAAATAGAGTACATACTATAGGCTTCAATTTTTAGAATTGTGCCAAATGAATCATTTTGGGTCAAAAGCAGGACATGGTTGTCTGAAATCTGGAATTAGGCAAAAGTTGCAGAGGATAAGAGTGAACTATGATGAAAAAGTTCTATAATTTAATTGTAATCTTGGGCTGGAGAGATAATACAGCAGGTAGAGCACTTTCCTTGCCCGTGACTAACCTAAGACCAATTCCTAACATCCCATATTGTGCCTCAAGCTTGCTAGGAGTGATTTCTGAGTAACTGAGCTAGGAGTAAACCCTGAGTATCACTGGATGTGACCCCAAAACAAAAATGTTTTAATTGTAATAAAACTTTCAAAAGTTTGATAATACTACTTGAAATGGCAATTTTGCTATGTGTAAAATAGAGCTGAAATTTCAATAGAGCTGAAAGAAACAGTAGGTATACATACACACACACACACACACACACACACACACACACACACACACGGGAAATCAGTGACAAACGTGAACTGAAGCTAGCTGGCTCAAAAATACTCACAAGTAGAAGATTTATGCCTGTTTGTAGTTGGCTCTTCACCAAGTTTCACTAGTTTCACAAGTTTCACTGTGCCTAACTAGTAGGCACAGGCTGATATGATTCCTACCACAAAACACCTTGCTCACCACAGTTAGTATGCTGCTAGCTATGAAAGACTTCACAGACCAAAAAGTGCTTTATTCCACGAGGAAAAGCAGTCATTGCCAAAGCTAATGTGCAGCTGGTCAGGGACCAGGGGCCCCTCTTGGCTGGCGTTAGAGAGGGTCAATACGCAGATTGGACTTCCAAATTGCACTTACGTTCAGTTCCCTTTCTTCTCTTCTTCCTCTCCCAAGGCTGAGCTCCTCTCATCACTCAGAACAGTCTTCTGGTAACCCGTGAGTCAGAAACAAATGAGCTGAAAGACAGCTTTAATTAACACACAGCATTTTCAAAATCAATTCATTCCTCCCCTGCCATTGTAAGAGTTTAAACCCCAACATCAGACTTCATATGCACAGAGACCAGCTCCTTTACTCCTATTGAATGAACCTCCCAAACCTTCTGGCCTCTCTCTCTCTTTCTCTCTGTGCCTCAACATCCTCTTTGTAAAATAGGGTCCACTTCTCTATAAATAGGCCGACTTGAGAATTAAATGAGAGGGCATGAACGTTATCAACACAGTGTTGGCATCAAGTCAGGAAGCTGAGAAGTGAAATTTTTTTTTGGTAAGTATGAAAGTTTATTTAAATAAATGAGAACTCATAAGTTGGTTTTAGAGAATCAGTTAATATCCTATTTAAATATTGAGACACATATGTAGACTACTACTTGCTAAACTCCAACTAAAGTTAGTTAGCAATAATAATTCAGAATAAATACTTTATGCAGGATGGTCAGATTTAACTTTCACATCAATACTGTTTATTCTTTATTCTCTTTTTTTCCTGATTAAATAATACATATTTATGAATATTTATCAATAATAAATGCTTTTAAAAACAATTCCTAAAATACATGAGACACTTGAAATGGTATGTTAAGGTATCCCACAATGATTGAACCATTTCTTTTTATACTTTCAGATTTTTTTAAATTAATTTATTTATTCTTTAATTTTACTGAACCACCGTGAGATAGTTACAAGTTTTCATGTTTGGGTTACAGACACACAATGATCTAACACCCATCCCTCCAGCAGTGCACATTCCCCACCACCAATATCCTTGGTATACTCCCCCTTTCCCACCCTCCCCCTGCCTCCATGGCAGACAGTATTCTCCATACTCTCTCTACTTTGGGGCATTATGGTTTGCAATACAGACACTGAGAGATTATTATGTTCGGTCCTTTGTCTACTTTCTGCACATATCTCCCATTCCGACCAGTTCCTCAAGCCATCATTTTCTTAGTGATCCCTTCTCTATTCCAGCTGTCTTCTCCCTTTTGCTCATGAGGCAGGCTTCCAGCTCTGGAGCAATCTACCTGCCCCATGTATCTACTCTCCTTAGGTGTCAGCCTCATGTTATGTTGTTTTATATTCCACAAATGAGTGCTGTCCTTCTATGTCTGTCCCTCTCTTTCTGACTCATTTCAGAGGAAGTGAATCTTTAAATATTATTTGAACATTCCTACCTCAGACTTTTCTCTGAATTTTCTGTAATCTATCAGGAGGCATTTTTCGAACTCCACAGTAATCTATCGAGACACTTCATCCTAGGAAAGCAAGAAATCTCTGTGTGCACTAAGCCTAAAAATGCCAGTTACGTGTGATCAAATGATGGGCATGGCCACACCTTGAAGACTGAGTGCTGTGTTCTGTGCTGATTGTAAGTGCTCTGACCTTACCAATGCGCATTGAGAAGCCGGCGAGTTCTATAACTGGACAGAGAGGCAGAAAGACTCCTCCACATGTTGTCATCAAAAATGTAGAAAATCAAGAGAAACTACAAGCCATGTTGGGAATGAGTCGGATCTTTAAAATTGCTAATAAAAGTCCCACCTAGTGAACAGCAACATGTTAGATACAAAGCACCCTGTCTGCTATGTCAGGCGTACAAACTCTTCCTGAGAAGTGCGATTCCTAGAAAGAAAAGATTCAACCCCAAATGAAGCGTCTACTCGCTGGCATTTCCCTCTGATTTTCATTCATTTGTATATTTTTTTGCATCCTCCCATGTAGCTCCACCAACCCCCCCAGACGTCAGTGGGTCAAGCAGCCTCCCAAAGCAGCCTCCTGCACCTGGCTCACAGCCAAGCCTCCATCTCTCAAAGCCCCGTCCGACAGGCTTCCTCTTCTTCCTCCTCATCTTCCTCCTCTTCAGCTTTGAGTGTGGGCCAGTTAGTCAGCAGTAAGTATCCTTTCTGGCTCGGTTATATCATTGTGGCCTTCTTATTACCTATTTGCAATATCTCTGTCTCTGAATTTTTCTGTCGTGTGTGTGTGTGTGTGTGTGTGTGTGTGTGTGTGTGGTTGGAGTCTGTCTGTCTCTCTCTCTTCCTAACTCTCACACACACGTTCTCTGTCTATGTCTCTGTCTCTCTCTCACACACACACCTCTATTTCTATCTCTATCATATCTCTCTCTCACCTTCCCTCTTTCTCTTTTTCCACTCAACTTCAAAGAGTAATTTTCTAGCATCAGGCGGCCAGTGTTGGAACCCAGGACAGGACAAGTCCTTTAATGACAGCAGACTCCCCCAAGCACAGCTCCTTAATGACTGTGGGTAGGGGCCAGTTTCCATTTCACTTGCTTTTTGAGCTGCTGAGTCATTCCTGCCACTTCAGAAGAGAAAAACTGGCTTTCACAGCCTGAACCACAGAACTTGGGACTGAAATAATCAACAACAGGCACGCAGTCAGCAGGTCAAGATGCTTTTCTGTGTGTTTGAAGTCCCCTGCTGTTCTATTTGTAGGTGTCAAAGGAAATAAAAGAGAGTGTGCCTGTAGGCAGATGGGTGTACACACACACTGAGCCGCCTCCAGTGGCATGCAGAGGAAGCTTCACTGGTTGAAATTCAATGAGGAATCTCTGAACCATCATTCACAGAACAAAATGTGCCTGCAAGGCTGCTGTCCTGAGTAGACCATTAGGCATGTGATTTTTAGGTATGGTATCTGGCAATAAGAGAATACATTATATTATCCAATGCAAAAAGAAACAGGTTAACATAAACAGGACAGTGATCTCATTCAATGTTAGTTACTTACTGTTGGTACAATTTTTACTTATACATAAAATTGTGGATTGGGCAATCGCACAGTAGTTAGGGCGTTTGCCTTGCACATGGCCAACCTGGGTTTGACTCCTGGCAAACTACCGAGAGTATCCCACCTGCAAGGCAGAACCTGGCAAGCTCCCTGTGGTGTATTCAATATGCCAGAAACAGTAACAACAAGTCTCATAATGGAGACGTTACTGTTGCCCACTGGAGCAAATTGATGAACAATGTGAGGACAGTGCTACAGTGCTACATAAGATTATAAAACTCGTGCATATGTGATTCTCCAGCAGTTATGAGTCTAAAGGGCTAAGCACTTACTTCATAGGCATCTATGCCATAAAACAAGGACACGTGATTATTATATGTCAAGCCAGGTGTCCTGAAAGACCTGTTAGAATTGGAACAGTAGAAATGTATCATGGGACAAGTCTGGTCATATTAAGCAAAGAGAATTAACATACCCTGCCTGCATCCACAAGTGATTTAGGCAAGAAATATGCTTATAAAATGAAGACAACAAGGGACTGTAGAAAGATATTAAAATGCCCAACTAAAAAAAATATGTACTAAGTAAAGATATTGGAAACAAAGAATCAAATTGATTCTGTTTTCAAATTTAAATAAACAAATAAATAAATAAAATGCCAACTACTTTAGTGCAGCATTTCTCAACCAGTGCTCCCTGTGTGTTTCCCCCAGGTATTCTAAATCACTTAAATGTGGGGCCATGGCATAAGACTAGTGAGGACAAACAATAGGAAAAGGGGATACAGGAAAGAAATGAATCGGAAGGGGCCATAGTTGGCAAACATTTGAGAAACAGCTTGAGGGGACTAGCCCTGATGCTATGTGTCTTAAAAATGAGACAATGCCCAACAGTTTCATAGTATAAGTATTTTGTCATTAGGCAATTTTTGGGGGGTTGCTTAGATATAAAGGTAAAGGTATATGTCCTCTAGATATATGTCCTCTCTTATTTAGACCAGAAACTCTAGCATTATCAAATAGAATCATGCCAAAGTTAATTTAATTATAGTAAAATTTTTCACCAATAAACAAACTCCTCATTGTTGTGTTGTAAGAAAAGATTCAAAATTTGTTCCAATTTAATATTCCACGAATATTTCTGAAATGAGTTGTACTTTTAAATAACATTGTTTAGTATATAATTATTTGAGATTATTTAGGCTAACATTATTTAGGATTCTTACTTTAAGATAGGCAATTAAGCTTTGGTCTTGAAACACCATAAACTGTTACCAAACATTTTATGAAAAAAATAAGTGAACTATTAAATAAAAGTATAAACCACCTTGCCTCTAGTACTTTATACAAGGTAAATAGCATTTTAAGGTAAAATACAGTATTTTACACAAGGTAAACACATAATAACAGGGATAATGAGTGGATTGTACAAAGTTCTCACTAGATATTTGTATCAAGATGATCAGGAAAAGAATCTGTAACAGATCTACTTAATGGGTCAGAAAGAATTTCAGTTGCATAGTGCCCAAATGAGACATTTAATTTCTAGGTATGTTATGAATGAGCCTTATCATGTATCTTGCTATGACTATTAGAAACTGTGGAGAGAGACTCCTTCACCATATTTGTGTAAAGCAGAATACTCCAAACTCATACACAGAGCCTTCCCTGGTGGTAATAAAGCATCCAGTAGTACCACCAGGAAACAAACTTTCCATAAATAAGTTTCTGGATTTAAAGTTATTCTAGATTTTGATTATGTTCTTTAATAAATTTTCTTCTTTCTCAAAAGTGTACAATGAATATGTTCATCTAAAAATGCATGAAGAATTTTCTGATGTTAATTGTCCCCAACAGAAGCCTGTTTGATCTTCATGTATGAAGTGAAATTTTTAAAGAACTCCCAATATTTTTATATTTTTATAAAATATATTTTATCACGGATCACGATCACAGTCCTCCCATTGTTCATCGATTTGCTCGAGCAGTCCCAGTCAAGTCTCTATCATGAGACTTGTTGTTACTGTGTTTGGCATATTGAATACATCACGGGTAGCTTGCCAGGCTTTGCTGTGAGGGCAAGATACTCTCGTAGCTTGCAGGGCTCTCCTAGAGGGGTGGAGGAATCGAACTCTGGTCGGCCATGTTGGCTGCATGCATGGCAAACGCCCTACCTGCTGTGCTATCGCTCCAGACCCAAAATATATTTTATATTTGCCCGGCAAGCTACCGAGAGTATTCGATATGCCAAACATAGTAACAACAAAGTCTCCAATGGAGACGTTACTGGGCCCGCTGGAGCAAATCGACGATCAACGGGAGGGCCTTTACCTTTACCTTTTACCTTTAACAATATATTTAAAATTTTATTTTATATTCACAAGGTAATATAATTCTTCAATTTTAGATATTAAAGATAAATAGATTCAAATAGATCCTTTAAAGAACAGCATATAGCCATCTTTAGTCAAAGGAACCAGTTCAATCTTAACTGAAAGACTGTGATACCCTGTATGAAAATTCCAAAAGGTGACAAAACCAGAATAATAATCTCAGTCAATTCAATGAGTCAGTCATATTCATACAACTGCCTTATATGATATGATGCTTGTAGATAATTTTTTCCAGTAAAATTTAAATGGCAAAATATATAAAAATCACCTAAACATTCTTTGGATAGTCTTTAAATTTTTCAATAACTTTTTTGCTTTCTTGTTTCTTTGGGGGCCCTACCCTCAGTTCTTAGGGCTGACTCCTGGCTCTGCTTAAGAATCACGTGGTGCCAGAGATCTGACTGAGATCAGCTGTGTGCAAGGCTAGTGCCCTACCACTGTACAGTCTCCCCAGCCCCCAATAATTTTTTTCTTTTCTTTTTGGTTCACACCCAGCTATGCTCAGTTAGTCCGGTTTCTGCACTCAGGAGTTACTCCTGGCGGTGCTTGGGGAACCATATAGGATGCTGGGGATTGAACCCGGGTCAGACGCATGCAAAGCGTGCAAAGCAAATGCCTTACCTGCTGTACTATCATTCCGGTCCCCGACCCCCAATAAAATTTTAACTCATGTCTTCTGATAAGCTTTATCTGGACTAGGACCGGAAAAATAGCACAGCAGGTAAGGCGTTTGCGCAGCGGACATGGCCGACCCAGATTCGATTCCTCTGCCCCTCTTGGAGAGCCCGGCAAGCTACTGAGAGTATCTTGCCCGCAAAGCCTGGCAAACTACCTGTGATGTATTCAATATACCAAAAACAGTAACAACAAGTCTCACAATTTGTTGTGAGATGTTACTGGTGCCCGCTCAAGCAAATCGATGAACAATGGGAGGACAGTGCCACAGTGCTATCTGGACCAATTTATGAAAAGAAAAAGAAATTTTTCACAGTATGAATTTTATATTCAAAAATGAAATATGCATTTAAATTATTTGTTTGAAATGAAACTTCAGCAAATCTGCAGATAGTCTGGGGAGACCCAGCCCGCACTGAGATGAACTCCCAGGCAGTTTAACACAGGGGCCACTGCCTGCACAAACTCTCAGTTTTCACGCCATTTCTACAACCCAGTGAAGTTACCAGACTGCAAGGAAATTGTTCACCCAAGTTACATTACACATATCCATATGGTTTCTTATTTCTCAGAAATACTTGGTAAATATGCCCATTATTTGCTGGGAAAATAGCACCCAAAAAGCAGATAGATATTCACATAAGGCAGTTAATTCATACGTGGAAGCTTCTTCAGAGATGCGTATCTTCCTGAAACAATCCCAGAATCAAAGGTTGTACAAGAACAATATGAATATATAGTGACAACCTGACCCGGCTTCGATTCCTCCACCCCTCTCAGAGAGCCCGGCAAGCTACCCATGACATATTCGATATGCCAAAAACAGTAACAACAAGTCTCACAATAAAGACTTACTGGTGCCCGCTCGAGCAAATCAGAGAACAGTGACAGTGACAACCCAACAACTCCTTGCACTAACTTGCTTACTCATAGTTGGAAGAACTAAAGTTAAAAGATAAAATGGAACCTCTGTCCTAATCCATCCTGCACTCTACTTCTTTGTGAATTCAGTCACCACCCAACCAGATTCTATAGAACAGATTTGTTTTCACACAATTTTCAATCTTTTTGGTTTTCATTTCATGCATTCCAGATTTAATTTGGGAAATTTCATACTTTTACTTAGGACTCCAAGCTTGACAACTCCAAGATGTGTTGCCATAGAACTATTTTATATAGCACTGCCAATTTTCTATCTCAATTTATGCTATATATCTAGATCCTAACAGATCATCACTCTGTTAATCACTGTGTAGTGATCCTATGGCAAAGATCAGCCTGGCCCGAGCAATAGTACTACAGATAGATTGCCCTTCCCACCATCACCCCAGAAACAATTTTCTGCAGTTTGGACTGTGTTCCCAGTGAAGTCCATAGGCAGGGCATTTGCCTTGCACGTGACAGACCTGGGTTCGATCCCTGGCATCCCATATGGTCCCATAAGCACCACCAGGAATAATACCTGAATGCAGAGCCAAGAGTGACCCTGAGCATCACCATTTGTGAAAATCCAAAAAAAATTGTCTTTAAAATATTAATTTTTTAAAAAATTTAAGCTTCTGCGGACATGTAGTTATCACTATTGTTTTCTTATTCTGGATTTAATAGATTGGATTGAAAAACTTAATGAAGCAAACTCTAAGAAAAGTTTCACTTCCTGGGGCTGGAGCAATAGCACAGCTGGTAGGGCATTTGCCTTGCACATGGTCAACCCAGGTTCGATTCCCAGCATCCCATATGGTACCCTAAGCACCACCAGGAGTAATTTCTGAGTGCATGAGCCAGAAGTAACTCCTGTGCAATGCCGGGTATGACCCAAAAAGAAAAAGAAAAAGAAAAAAAAGTTTCACTTCCTCCTTGTTGCAGAGAAGCTTCAAGCTGTGTTGCCTTAGAACTGACTTATAGCACTGGATCTAACTGTGGGAGGTCTGGCGCTGCCTTCTGAGAACCCATTGAGATAGTGTCAGATTAAGCTTTGAAATTATTTCAATAACCCCAGCATCATGAGAATGAAGAACATAAAATCAGCTTATATGATCCTAGAGCGGAATGTCAACCTCTGAGCTAGACTAAAATGACCTTCCAGGAAAACTTCCATTTACCACTTACTTGCCTTTGTTTACACTTCTCACCCAGAATGGAAAGGGAATTTCAGGAAAGAGAATTTTTCCAATGGGGTGGGGTTGGCAGGGATCTTTATTCAGAATATGTATTGATATACATTAATATATTATATTATTAATGCAAAACACTGAGCATACATCAGCTTATGAATTATCCTGATGTATGAAGACAAGTCCCAGATGTTGCAATCAGGTTAAAACTAACATTTGTCCAGAGGTTGGCTCCTTCTTTGGATGGGAAGGTTTTGCGGTCTTGAAACCCATGGAGCAAAACCATAATAATGCATTTTGCCATCTGCTGTTATGGATAAGAACATAGTATAAAGAAACTGAAACAACTCATCTCAAGCAATTAACAAATTGCACAAACAAAGATTTATTGCTCTCTCTTCTCCCTGGGCTTCTGCCCAGTAGACCATCACCCTATTTAGATTTCACAAAAATTCCTATCATAAGTTCTACAAGTAAAACCAGAGAAATAAAAAGACAAGAAGTGAGAAATGAGTGAGAAAAGGAAGAAGAAATTCCACTTCCTGGTATGGCTGATGCTTGTTTATGGCCTACAGGAAGGCACTGGGCTCAGTTGGGGGAGGAATCCTTTTCCCTGAGCTTTAGAAAAGGCCTTAATAACCCCCAGAGCAAGCTCAACATGGGGTTGAGTCTACAGCTCTCTCAGCCCTGCTTGTAGCCAAAAGCAACCTGCACAAACACACACTCAGATTTCACTCCTAATCTCAAGTAAGATAGGACAGATCAATGTGAAATTGCACAAGTCGTAAAGTTGCCTGGTACTGCACTGCTAAATCTGACCTGGGACTGGAGAAGATACAGGGTTCTTTCTGAAGAAAACTAGAAGTGCCCACCCTCTGTGCAGGTTATCTCAGTCAATTCCCAGTGATCTAGAAACAGGCCTAATACAAAGCCACAAATTTCACTACACATAAACTCCTGTGCTTGTCTGACAGTACCTTCCAACTCCAGATTTCACTGGCAGGCCTGGTCCACTGCTGCCTAGTCACTTGCCCTTTGCTATCTATGGCATTGCTGAATGGAGGCAAAGTGTAATTGCCCTTTCCACCATCACCCCAGAAATAAATTTCTGCAGTTTGGGTTGCATTCCCGAGAGGTGGAGTCCTCAGGCGGGGCAGAGCGTGTGAAGCAGATGTTAGGAAAGCTCAGGTGAGGCTGAAGAGGCACTGAGGAGTCAACTCCAGCTCACTGCTTGTTCCCAAATAGAAAGTAGGACCTGGTGCAGGTTGGATCTTCTACTGTTTCAGAGGAGGTGAAAAGCCAAGAATTTTTTTTTAGAAATCTTCAAATTGTTGCATGTTGGCAAGTAGATATTTTTAAATGTGTAAGAATAAGGGAACTGAGTTTTACATGCAAGTTACTGATTGGCAACATCTGCCCTGAAAACTTTTTTATGAATAAATAGAAGAGGGCTATCCAGGACCCTGTGCCAAGGGCGGGGGTGACCTCTCAGGCCCATAGCAAAGCCTTAAAACTGTTGCAGGCTGCTGAGCTGTAGGATGCGAGGTCCAGAGTACAGTCTTCCTCTGGAGTGACCCAAACTAGCCATTGATTTACCTCTGAAGCACAGCAGTAGGGTGTTTGCCTTGCAAGTTGCTGGCCCAACCAAGCCAGGTTTGATTCCTCCACTCCCCTCAGAGAGCCTGGCAAGCTACTGAGAGTATTTCACCGGCATGGTAAAGCCTGGCAAGCTACCCATTGTGTAGTAGATATGCCAAACACAGTAACAACAAGTCTCACAATGGAGACGTTACTGGGCCCACTTGAACATATCAATAAACAATGGGAGGACAGTGCTACAGTGCCAGCCTAAGAACAGAGGCTGAGTTTTAATTCCTCTTCCTAACCAAAAACTAGTTATAGCCATGCCCTGACCCTGTCTCCAAATATGTTCCATTGAAGTGTTTCCCACTCATTCCTGGTACCTGCCTTTGTCCTGTTTGTACCTACCCAAACCCACGGAGCTTCCATAGTGCTCTGCATCTCCTTAGATCTGTGCCAATCAAATCTTAAGGTGGACTCTTCATTCTCTGGAAACTGCTCATGGCATAAGTCCAGAAGAATCCTTCTTCTGTGCCCTCTCCTGTCTCAGAAATTCAGTATGAGTGGCACCCCAGAAATTCTTGATTACACTCTGTCAAATATTTTTTGTAATTGCTTCTTCTGCATGGTCTTGGGTCCCAACCCCTGTAGACCATAAACTCTTTCAAGTGATGTGTGTTTCTCTTGCTCCCCTCTCTACTCATCAGGACTCCCAGGAGTCGTTTAAGAAATGTCTATAGACTGATTGCTATAACTGACCACTTTCCAGTGTTTCCACAACAAAATATGAGTAAATACATTTGAAAAATCTGCAGTACTCCTTTTTAATATAAAGTTTTAAGAGGAGAGATTGTGTCTGCATGGCAGATTATACTAACAGAGTTCATTTTCCCTGTAAAGGTACACAAAGCCCAAAGACACACACAAACACTAACACTTCTGTTTAAAATTCCTGAAGGTTTGGGATAGAGCTATAATACAGCACGTAGGGCATTTGCCTTGCACATTATTGACCCAGTTTTGATTACCCAGAACCCCATATGGTCCCCTGAGCCCTCTGGGGAGTGATGCCTGAAAGCAGAGCCAGGAGTAAGCCCTGACACTACCAGGTGTGGCAAGAGGAAGGAAGGAAGGAAGGAAGGAAGGAAGGAAGGAAGGAAGGAAGGAAGGAAGGAAGGAAGGAAGGAAGGAAGATAGGGAGGGAGGGACGGAGGGACGGAGGGACGGAGGGACGGAGGGACGGAGGGAGGGACGGAGGGAGGAGAAAGGTTAATACTGCAGGATCTTATCACAAGAAAAAAGTCAGTATGTGTGTGATGGCAGATATTGACTAGACTTTTCATAATCATTGTTTCAAAATACATAGAAGTAAGGTGAAATGAATACAATGCACATGCCAATTATGCCTCAATGTAAAAGTAAATTATGAGAAAAGGAAACAAATTAAAATAGAAGTTTTTATTACCTAGGCTTTAGGGCTGCAAATGTTGTTCTTTCCATAATACAGAAGTTTCTACTGCCCTAAGCCCAGGAGGTGAACATGGCTTTGAATTTACTGGAATTGACCCGCTATTGTGCATTAAAAAGAAAGAGGAAAAAAAGTTTTCACCTAAGTGGAGAGGAATAAGGCAAAGAAGAATAGCAGCAGCTCACAGGGGGAGAAGCTTCACACAGGCAGGCAGAGCTGCTGGCTGGGCGTGTTCATTTATCCCACTCAGTGGCCGGGTGTGGGGGACAGTTTCACTCTCCAGCTGTTGTGTCATTTCCCTTGATAAGTCCTAAATTGACTGCGTTATCCTGCACCAAAGGAGCCTTCCCACAGTGGGCATTTTCATCACGTGCCCTTCCCGGGGACAAAGGCATCTGTTTCAGGGACTTGCTGGGGAATTGTGGGCCAGGTGGAGGGGAAATACTGTCTCCCAAGTTCATACGCATGATCTTCTGAGGATCTCATGTGAACTCAGGCCACGTTGCCCACCGTTAACCTGGCTACCATGGCGATAGGGCAAGGGAAAACACACAATTCTAAATCAGACCTTGCAAATTCAAGCCACCCGACATTGCTTTGGACAATAGAGGACTTGATGGGAACCTAGGGTTGCATCTCCTGAGCCAGGGTCTGTGTCTGGGGGATCCGGAGCAATGCCCCCTTGTATGAGAGGACATCGGGCTGCCTCTGGTTTTCCTCTGTTTTGAGGGACTGCAGTGAGTTCCAGAGGGGAGCTCCATGAGGCAGAGAGACTTTCTGCAATGCTGCTGAGCCCAGCACTGGCCACTGAGAGTCACTGTAACCGTGACAGAGATGCCTCGGCTGCGTGTTGACGTATTGATCCTATTTTTACAAACATCTCCACAGATCCTCAAACTGCGGCGGGTGAGGTGGATGGGGTTAATCTGGAGGAGATCCGAGAATTTGCCAAAGCTTTTAAAATCCGGCGCCTGTCGCTTGGCCTGACCCAGACTCAGGTGGGACAGGCTCTCAGTGCCACGGAGGGCCCCGCGTACAGCCAGTCGGCCATCTGCAGGTAACCCGCCCGCATGCTGTCACCTCCTCTGGCCAGGGGGCCTCGTGTGTCCCCTCAGTTCAGCTTTGCTTCATGGGGGGCCGGCGGGGGACACACGCTGATGGGGAGGGGGGAGCAAAAAGGGAATTGCTGGTCTGATGAGATGGTGGAGCTGCTGCTAGTGGGGAGACTGTTGGGGGCACTGGCTTGATAACTCCTGTCAACTCTCAAAGAACTTCCAAGGCAGGAGCTTCCAGGGGAGGTGGGAGCAGAGCTTTCCACTGGGAACCCGCACCCCATTCAAGCAAGACTCCGGGCAGGCACTGCTGCCTGTTTGCAGAGAGGGATCCTGTGTACCCCGTTCCCTGCTCCATTGGGGTCCAACCTCCCACCCTCTCTCCAGGGATGGCACGCAGAGTTCTCCAGAAAACACGTGAAAAAAGAATCAGGGGTCGGGAGACATTGCAGGGTCAGGCCACATGTCTCGAGGTGCCACCAGCCCAGATCAGCCTTCAGGCACATTGTCAGGCGCAGCCCTGAGTAGCCGAGGTACATAGAGCAGCCTTGCAGCACATACCTGGGCCTTGAGTCTCCTGAGCATTGCTTGGGAGTCTCCCACCCCTCTACACACACACACACACACACACACACACACACACGCGCGCGCGCGCGCGCGCGCGCGCATGCATGCAAGTGCACATGCATGCCCGCACACACACGAGCGAGAAAAGAAATTATTCAATTTGTGAATAGGAATTCTTTAACTTGTCCTCCCAGACACGTGTGGATAAGCACATCTTTAAAAAGAACTGTCTACGTTAGGTGGATCCAAAAAAGGACAGTGAGTATCTGGACAAACCTTGCCTCCTGTCCCTGCCCCTGCCCAAAAATATATATATATATATTTAAGAAATGACAGAATCCAGCCTTGTTGATGTTCGAGTTGATCTGGGTTAAGCCGCCGGAAGCCGCCCCATGCATGCTTGTGTGTGTTGCACTAATGCCATGTTTATGCATGAGGTAACAAAGGCACTTCAGTAAGAGCTTTTTCCTCTTGGGCAATACCTTATGAATCCTCCTCCATCAGGAAAAGCCGAGAAACCAACTCTAAACTCATTTAAGTGGATTTTGTTCTTGGTGATCCATGAAATGCTGTCTTTTTATCTCCTCTTTATACTTTTAATGTATTCCCCAAAGGACGGAAGTGTACTTTTCCTGCAGTTTAAGACTAAGGTTATAAATAACATCAGTATGGGGTAGTAGCTTGCAGCTCACATTTTGCTCAATGATTTTCCATAAAACCCATTGATTGTTGTTAAATACAAAAAGCGCCATAGGATCCTCTCACTTCTATGGCCTCCCCTACTGTTTTTTCTTATAAGATACCTCCCTGTAGAAAATAACCTTTATTCAGTCTATACAAGGATACCACTGCTGAGAAATTTGTTTCAAGGCTTGTATATGTTATTCCAAACAAGTACAGAAGCATCACTACTAACAAGCAGCATCAATGATATGAATACAGTTGCTCCCTGTTGGGAAACATTAATTTTGTTTCATCTTGACAGCCTAGTGATAAAGGCAGCCACAGGTTTTTAAGTTGTTGCCAATTTGCTATTGTTGTTAAAAATCCTTCTACATTGTTTTTAGGCCTAAAATGTGACTTCCTTTTATGAATCTAAAAGCCATCTAATTTTTTCCCTAATATACCTAATGCTGTGGGGGTATCCCTAATCAAATAGGTTGATTTCCCAATTCATCTTCAGCGGAGCAAAAAAAAATCTATAATTGAAATTTTTGAAAAGTTGAATATCCACTGTATAGCAGATGATGTTAGATGCCTTGGCTTTTCAGCATTTTTCTAGCTTTCAGTGAAATAGGAGCTAGCTTACAAGAAAATGCAAGGCCTTGGGAAAGACCAAGGTTCTGAATTGACACAATACAAGTTGAAGTTCAGGCTGGGAGCAGGGAAGACACTAATTTAATACACATTACCCAGATCATTTCTCCCCTATTAGCTGCAGTGATTCTAAGTGCTGCTTTGGTCACTCAAGAAAAACACCAGAAGACACTGCATGTCCCTATGACAAGCTTTGTCCCATGCAGTAGAGCTGTGAATGCTTAAACTTTGGGGCAGTTATAGTAAATTATGTAACATGTGGCATGTGGTGACTTAATAGACATTGTGAGCTTTGGGGGAGCCTGCCACAAGTTACAAGGTCACTAAATGATGGACTCCTTTGTGTTGGAAGCAAACTGAACTTCTTCCCTTTTCTGAGTTTGAAAACTGGAGTTTTTAAAAAGTAAATAAACAGCTCCTAAACTACACCTGGAAGGGAATGAAAGTAAACCACATTTTAAAAATGTGACGGTATTTGCACTGCTTATCGCAATAGGTGATATCTAAAATGTAGTACCAAAAATAAGATTATGATACACAAAGGAAGTCTATCTTTCTGTGTACTTTTGCAAGCCACCTTGTAAAATATATTATGACTATGGCAAATCCATTGTAGTAAGAAGCAGATTGTAGGGGTTGAGGAAAGAGTACCAGGATCAGATTTTCCAGGCGCTAGACCAGGTTCACGCCCCAGCCCGTATGGACACCAGAGCATGCCTGGGTGCTGCCCTGGTACCTCCTGACCCACGAGCAGCAGGGTACAAGCTGCACCACAGTCCCAGGGCCCTCACATTGACCAGTGTCCCCAGTTGGCTGAGAATTACCTGGAGTGGTCCCCCAAAAGAGATGTGCTATTCAACCAGATGGTTGTTTCTCAGGAGCATTGAACTTTCAAAGAGAGGGGAGAATTTTGTGTACCCCAAGTTGTCACACTTACTGGAAAGCTATAAATTGGGATTTAAAATAAACAAACAGATCAAAGAAACTGGTCCTCTTTTTTTTTCATTTTGTTGAGAGTTGGGTATAAATTTGGTGTCAGGATGACTTCCTCAAACACCGTCTATAATTTTGTCCTAGATGCTTCATATTTTTTAAAGTCAGTTTAGCAGAGAATGGCTGATAGCAATTGATAGAAAGAAGACCTCATTTACAGAAAATGGTATCATTCAGGTCCAGTTTGCAGATGCCGCACATTAAACACAGCTGGTGCCCAGTGCTGAAGTGCACCATTACGCTGATGGAGTTCGGAAGGCGCAAGGTGGCACGGGCTCCTCAGGGGCGGGGGTGTCCACATAATTACAGTGTGGCCAAGTGTCTGAGCCCCGCAGCAGCGAGACGCAGGGGGCTGTGTTTGACTCGGAAAAGGGCTTGCTGCAAACTTACACACGGTGAAAATTGTTCCCAGAGAGAGGGGCTGGGGGAAGGGGGAAGGAGAGGCTGAGATGAAACAGAGCCATCAAAGAATCGCGTCCCAGGTGCCACCAATGACGATTATCATAAAGACGGCATTTCATAACTGAGTCAAGAGGGGGAAATTTTAAGGAAAATCAAATGTGCAAAGTAAAAAAGGAATCCTCTGAAATCAAAGAACACGACAGCCATCGGCTTTGGTGTCCTTTATTTCCTGGTGTTATTTCTGCCTTAGGCACCTGCAGGTCGGAAGCTGATGCTGGGAGGATTCAGACCAGAGCTCGGCGTGCCCCGAGCAGGGATGCGAGCGCTTCTGTCCTGTGCTGTCCCCTGTCCTGCCCCGGGGTGCGCGCGCGGGCATGCGGCATGCGGGCGGGAGGCTCTGCCAGCAGGCAGGCAGGCCGGCCCCCCCAGCCGAGGACTCGGTGTAAGACTGTTCTTTCTCAATTCTCCCCCCAGACACACCATCCTGAGAAGCCACTTTTTCCTACCACAGGAAGCCCAAGAGAACACTATAGCTAGCGGTCTGACAGCCAAACTGAACCCTGGCCTTTTGTATCCTGCCAGGTTTGAAAAGCTGGACATCACCCCTAAAAGTGCCCAGAAGATCAAGCCGGTGCTTGAGCGGTGGATGGCTGAGGCTGAGGCCCGCCACCGAGCAGGCATGCAGAACCTGACCGAGTTTATTGGGAGTGAGCCCTCCAAAAAGCGCAAGCGGCGCACCTCCTTCACGCCCCAGGCCCTGGAGATGCTCAATGCGCACTTTGAGAAGAACACGCACCCCTCGGGCCAGGAGATGACCGAGATTGCCGAGAAGCTCAGCTATGACCGCGAGGTGGTCCGCGTCTGGTTCTGCAACAAGCGCCAGGCGCTGAAGAACACCATCAAGCGCCTGAAGCAGCAGGAGCCCGCGCCCGCGCCCCTCGACCCCCTGGCCGACTCGCTGGAGGGCGCCCCGTAGGAGGCGCGGCCCGCCCCCCCGCCCGCGCGGCCCCGGCCCCGCGCCCCCGGCCCGCCCGGCGCGGCCAGGCCTCCCCGTAGGTAAGAGCCGCGGGGGCCGCCGCGGACGGGGGGCTCCAGGGAGACGCCCCTCCGGAGCAACGCCCGCGAGGGTCTCCACGCTGCAGGAGCGCCCGCCCGCTGCGCCCCAAAGTCAGTTTTTCTAACGGACTTTAAAGCAAACCAAATGACTACACACTCTTTTTCTGTACATTACGAAAATGTGAACACACCTAAAGGAAAAAAGGAAAAACTAAACCAAACCAAAAAAAAAAAAAAAAAAAAGTCCAGAAAACCAACGGCCAACGCTCTGTCCAACCCGGTCCACGCGCGCCCCCTGCAGGCGGGCCTGCGCCGCGCAGCGGCTGACCCGCTGGAACTTCTAACCAAAGTCGGAACCGCCCATTGTCCGCGCGGCTCGGCGCGTCGCGAGTTCTGTTGCTGGTTTTTGCATTTGCAAATCAGACGAAGCCTGATTTCTCCCATCCTTCCCTTCTCCTGCCACGGCCGATAGGGTGTCACTGCTGAAACCGCTCTGTGAGGCTCACTTGGCTTTTCACTGGGGTGGGAAGAGTCCTTTTTCTTGCCTTCTTTTCTTTCCTCCTTTTTTCTTGTTTTTCCTTTGTTTTTCCTTGTTTCGCTTGCGTCTGAGGAAGAGCATCCTGGATCTTGTGCCAACGCACTCATTGCTTTCTTCTCACTATGACTAAGTGGGTTTGAGAAAAGAAAATGGAGCTCGCATTTCTCTTTTTCTCCCTATTTCTCCTTCTCTCTCTGGGTCTGCTGGATTGCCCAAGTGGGAACCGTGTCTTTTCCATTCAGATCCCAGAGAAATGCAGGAGAGACTCAAAAATTACTAGGGATTTGTTCAATGAACTGTCAACATTGGCGTAAGCTGTAATTGTGCTCACCATTCACACCAGAGCTCGGCATTTTTCTCAGTCTGTTGGCCACATACATGGAGAGCTGACCAAAACTAATTTTGTAATATAAACATAAGCTGCACATTTGGTTCAATACTTACATCTATGTTATGCTTCTGTGCAAAGCAATTTCTCTCAGAAGTCTGATAGCCAAAGAAATGTCTCAAGATTTCAGTCAAAATTCACACATTGCATGCACACTCATATCCACACACACAAATAAAACAGGCCAAAAAGAACAGGACAGTGACTGGATCATTAAAAGCCATTGTGTAGCCTGAAAAAAGAAAAAAAAATCCCATCTTTTTTGCTACTACTTTCATTCCATCAGCAATGGCAGACCTTTTTTTTTTTCAAGTTTTTCAAGTTGGAGGGCACAAAATTGATCTTGGGATATGAGGATGGAACAGCAAGTCGGCAGACAAATTTAAGCAATTGGAATTGGGGTCTGGGTTCTTGAGGAAAAAAGAAAGGTTTAATAACCAAGTGCCTAGATTAGAAGGAAATGACAGAAGTGACATATCCAACACATCAGAACAGCCTTCATCATTAGAACTAAGGGACTGTTTCATTTTTCAGAGGAATTCACTCCAAGTAATAAGGGACAAAATAAATGAAAAAGCCTGAAAGGAAGGAAAAAGTCACTTTTTGCATTAGGAAGGTAATGCAAATGGCCACTTGGACTTAGATGATGTTTACCACAGTCATAGGCAAAAAGTGTTAAAGGGGCAGGGAAAAGCCATAAATTGACCTGCTGTTGACATGTAAATACTCCTGAATACTTAATAAATCAGCACTCTCCGGTACTATCTACAAGTTAATTGTGAATGAAAAAAAAAACAACGGAGAAGTCCCACCTCAAGTTACCCAACCTATTAGGAATGCTTTCTTCACCCCAAACAAATTCCCTCCCCCAGGAGATTGAGTTTCTTCTGCTGCTGGCCCCCTGGCTGGTTGTGTGAAAGCAACCCTGTAACTGCTCCCCACCCACCTCCCATCCTTCCAGGACTGCTCCTAGGGTAATCACATGACTAGCCAACAAACTCTGAAAGAATTCCTGGAAGAAGAACCAGTGACTTGGAGAAGCGTTTCTATTTCACCAATCCGTTGCTAATTGGAACCTAGCTGACTTGATCTTCACTACCAAGGAACTCACAGTAATCATTTCACCGCCTCAAAAACTGCACAAGTACCACCAATCCAGAAAACTGAAGATGTATTCATTAAATAGATTTTGTATCTTCCAGAACCTGCTCAAAGCTTCCCTAGAAAAGAAGTGAACAGGTTGACATACAATGAGTGGTTAAACAGATGCCAGGTGCTGCAGCAAAAGTAGTGCACATTCAGAGATCTATAATTGGGAGGAAATCGCTAATGTCACTAGTGAAAATACAAAATGGAAATAATCTTCCAGAGTGGAATAAAAGAGATGGAATATTCATCCCACAGTCGTGAAACCATTCATGTGCAGTGATTTTTTTTATAGTTTTATAATTTTGTATTGTTTTATAAATTATTTATAAGGTGTTGTAATGCTTCTTTATTAATTTTTTACAGATAAATTTTTTGCTACAAGGCATAAATAAGGTGCCTGAACAGATTCTTAGGAACATAAATTATACTGTGTAACTTGTAAGTCTTCAGGACTACACATATTGCTTACTTTTATTATGGCATTTCTTATTTTTACCTGTGAACAACTTCATATTCCAATAGCATTTAAGTGTCTTTTGTGTTTCTATGAAATTAAGGTTAAAGTTGCCACAAACAAAAATAAAAGCCACTTCAGGCACATGTGATTGTATCTCAAGCTTCAATATTTTTCATACATTTTTTAAAAAATTATTGTCGTCTCATTTTTTTTCATGGCTCAAAAGAAAAGCAACTAATGTTATATTTCACACTTGTTTGTGAGGAGGGTTTTCAACCAAAACCAAAAAAACCCAAAAAAGAGACAGAAAGAGAAGGTTTTGAAAATTTGCAAACATTAACTGCATAACAAGATTTTGGTTTCTTTATATTGTAATCACACCATACATACACTCTCTCTCTCTCTCTCTCTCTCTCTCTCTCTCTCTCTCTCTCTCTCTCTCTCACACACACACACACACACACACACACACATGCATACATTCGCAAAAGAGAACAAAAACAAAAGGAGCTAGGAAAAAACCAAGTAGAGGTATATCAAAGAACTCAAGCTATGACCAAAAAGAAATTGTAAAATGCCTTTCCCATCTTCTCTATGCTGGACCAAAGCTCAATATTTGTAGGTATATGCACATTGTATAGATACGGCTAGTTGTTGCTGACAATCTCGCAATACTAAACTGTTATTATTTTAAGAAGAAAAAAAAAGAAATACAAACTGTTTATCAGTGTTTTACCTCAGCACTCTACTTGTACCCAGCTAAAGACCAAGCTTAAAAAAAAATGGAGTAAAAGGAAATCGATTATCATTTCAATGTTTGACTGTAAAATCTGTTTGGATAACATTTTGTAATGAGCTTTCTGTCATGTGATTTGCTCATTTTCAACTTGAAATTATGTGAGGCACATTGTTTCTTTGTTGTTAAGGAAGTGATTTATTTTGTCCTACGTGCTGTGATCTAGACTGGTCATCAGGGTCCACTGAGGAGGCATCGAAGAGATCGCTGCTTCTCCGCGCCTGGAGCAGGCAGCGAAAGGAGGGCAGGGAAACAGACTGGGTTGTTTGGAAAACAAAATCATCACGATGAGAAGTTGACATGATGGACTTGGGACCAAAAAGCCAAACCAGATATTTAAAAGCTCCTTACTTGCTCTGACACTGAAACCAAAGCTGATTTATCTGCACAGGTTGCTTACTGTTTAAAAGAAAAAAAAACTGACAAAACTGTACTTAATCTAGAGCAATATCTGTATGGTCAGTAAAGCTGCACTTTGTGTATTTCTTAACAGCTTCAGATCTGTCACTTTTAATTTGTACCATAAAATAAAGAATTGTTTGACATGAGCTTCGAGCACTCAGATATGTCATTTACATTGGAAGCATGTAAATAAAAATGTTATAACCCCAAATGTTAAGAAAAAGAAAGGGTACAGGACATATGACTACCTTGATTGTAAGTTACAGAAATCCAATTCAAATTTGCTTAACAAATGGAGAACCATACACTGTAATTTCAGTAGGAAGTTTTATTGTGAACCGAAAGCTCATCTGGATATAGTGGTTTCAAGAAAATCACCAGTCTGTTCTATATGACTTTCCTCTTAGATGAAGACTTCAGACATTGAAAGATGGATCTTCCTCTGAACTATGATGGAAATGGTACAATTGAATCATCTCTCCTACTTACTCACCCATCCCAGTCCATGGTAGGGGTAACTGGGGTTTAATAACAGCCTCAGCAGAAACTCAGAGATAGATGATAGACACCAGACGACAAAAAATTAGAAAACATAAGGGACAGACAATACTTGTCTACTACTTATACCTAACTGTGCATCAGTATTATAAAGAACTCTGCTGGGAAATGGGCTTTTTTTTCCTGCTCTTAAGCAATGCCTGAAATTGCACTTTCTAGAAAATTTAGGCATTTTTTTATACTCCTGCTTAAAGTTTAGTGTGGGTACATGGGGTGAGTTAATCTTGTTATAGAATTTACTAACACAGGGGGGAATAAGAACATCTTGCTGAAAATAGCTATAAGAAAAAAATTTTAATTAAAATCACAACCTTTACTTTAGGTGACGTTAAGTATTTCTTACATATGTTACATGGATATACCAGGTTATCAACTTAGTGCTATAATTATAAGAAGTGCTTTGGGGAAAGAGACAGAACAGAAGGATTATTACTATGCCTTGACTTTTTTATGAACTTTACCTAAATAATATCCTGGTTACAACTTCATTCAAAGCAGCTGTCCAGTAGTCATGCCCATCTCTACATACTCATGTCCCTCCCTGTATGTCTCTCTGCCTCTGTTTCTGTCTCTCTCTCTCTCTTTCTCTCTCTCTCTCACACACACACACATACACACTTGCATACACACAT